AAGATCAGTATAGTTGAGAAATAGAATAAAAGAACATTAGATTTTATTCATCATAACATTAAAAGAACATTATTTAATAAACCAACATTACAAGTTATATTGTACCGAGGAGGAGAAAAGACTAAAATTTTGTTCATTTTGATTATAATAAAACCATAATATGGTTCATTGATGGCAAGTAAGGTAGGTTTAGTCAATATACAGTTCTAAATGTGCTGGTTAGGCTCATGTCATCAGAGATTGACTTTTTCATCTGATTAGTTAAAGCAAGAGTCATTCTTTTCAAAATCTTAATTTTCAGGTTTTGATTTCATTGATTGATTAGAAAATGTATCAGAAAAACCCTCCTCATTGCATAGTTGTGCAGCTTCTCTTTGTGTTTCAGGACTGATAGAAGGTTTGTAACAAGTTGGCGATATACAAAAAGGTCCTACTCTGTCTCTTTTCCTAGAGCTGGGATGAAGGAAGAAGTCATTAGTAAAAAGTCATACAGTTCCCAGCTGGACAAGCTAGACCCATGATGGTGAACCTACGGCACGTGTGCCACAGGTGGCACACAGAGCCATTTGTGCGGGCACGTGAACCCCAACCAAAGTTACTTGCACTGCATATGAGTGCACCTCCCAGCTGATTTTCAGCCCATTTGTGGCCGTTTTTGCCCTCCCGGAGGCTCAAGGGACGCCTCTGCAGTCTCTGGAGGCTGAAAAACGGACGTTCTGGAAATATCAGAAGTGCCCGGTTTCAGCCTCCCAAGGCTGCAGAGGCTTCCCTCGAGCCTCCTGGAGGGCGAAAACAGTCTTCCCCAGGCTCCAGAGGCCCTTCCGAGGCTGAAAACGGACACTTCCAGTATTTCCGGAAGGCCCGTTTTTTGGCCTCCTGAGGCTGCAGAGGATTCCCTCAAGTCTCCGGGAGGGTAAAATGGCCTCATACAGGGCGAAAATCAGCTGAGAGGCCCATGCATGTGCAGTGCAGGTAAGGGGATAGGGCGGATGTGTTGCGCACGCATGCACGGGGGGATGCATTGCATTGTGGTTTAGGAAGTTTAGGCACAGACACTTGGCCATGCATACTTCGCCCCCAACCATCCGCATCAGCCCATTTACAGCCAGCTTTCCTCCTCTGCTAGCCCTCTCCCAACATTCTCCACGGCCAATGGGCCAATGGCCCTCCACCATTCGCCCTACATCCATGCCCATTCGCCCAAACACCATTTTACACAGGCCTTTGGCTGCATGGGACAAATAACCGCCAGCCAATCGGGTGTCAGGCAGAAGCAATGGCAATGCAGTGGCAGTGTGCGATGCAGTGTTTTTGTTTTAAGTACTGTGTTTGCTCCACAGGTTTGGGGGCCTTGGAACTCTGTCACCAGGACCAGAGGGAGGGGGAGTAGCAGCGGCGGGGTCACTGGGAGACAGGTGTGAGTGTGTTTGGGGACCAGGAAGCAGAGGTGGTATTCTGCTGGTTCGCGGCAGTTGTGGCGACCCGGTAGCAAGAATTTGGCATGGGTCACGGAACTGGAAGCCACTTCTGGGTGGCCACGCCCCCGAACCGGTTCCCGGTCACCAGTCACTCAGTTGCCACACCCACCCAATGCTTGCTCACCCTTCCCAGTCACTCCTCCCTTCCTATGTGGTACGCTGGGCCCTCGTGATTTCCACACATGGTGGCTGCGCCCCAACTGAGCAGCCCTGATCTGCCTGTTGCTCACAGATAAGCCTGCGAGTCGCATTAGACCTCCATTCCTGGAGTTTGGAGGGGCACTGTTCCTGGGCTCAGCTGGCAACCAGGGAGCATGATGCTATGTTGCCCACATTGCCCCTTCCTCTCCCACCCATTGATCTGCGTGCTTTGGGCGAGTGCAGGCAGCCACTGTGAGAATGCTGTGATGCAGCCCTAATGGTGGGGAAGGAAGATCCACACTGGGTTTGCTGCAATCAGCCAAAGGGCTGCCTGCGGAGGGGCATGATAAGGCGAGACTGCGTTTTAGGCCCAGCTTCGGCTTCCGTGGGGCCTTCCATGTGGGAGCCCTGAGAGAAAATGCCTCTCCCGAGGATGGTCTGCTTGCCCATCCACCAGCCTGGAAGTGGCATATCCCCTTTTCATGGGCTGATGCGGGACCCGAGGCAGGGCTGTGGTCGAGGAGGCGGCAGCCCCGAACAGCACCTGAAAGGTAGTCAAGCCTCGCCGTCACCTGTACCTTCCAGCCCATGGGCCTCTTTTAGCGGTGGCCTGCAGTCTGCCTAAACACTCGGCCCAGCGAGGGAGGGGCGGCTGGCTGAGAGGCAATGCAGGCAGAATCGCCTCGTACTTCCTGGTCATCCTCCCGGCAGATGAGACCGAGCAGCTGCTGGAGTATCCCCCAGGCAGGGGATGAGATGCAGCCTGGCAAGGAGGGGCGCACGTGTTTCACGGAAGAGTAGGATTGCTCGGCTCGAATGTCGGGCTAATGGGACTAGGCAATAGGTGCTCGCAGGCTTGGGTGAGTGCTAGGAGAAAGGGTGAGTGTGGCAACCTTTTTCCACCTCATTGCCCAAAGAGGTTGTGGGGGTCATGTGGGGGAAGTTTGTGTGGAAAAAAGGTTGGGAAACCAAGGAAACGCTTTGCGGGAGTGAAGCGGGTGGGGTAAAGGGCAGGGCTGAGCACGTGGGGCAGGTGGGGGGCTTTGTGTGGGAGTGTGGACTTGGCTTCGCTTCTCGCACCTTCTCCGCTGCTCTTGTTTCTTGTCAGGCCGTATTAGCCTCCTCCTTTTTTTGTGGTGCCTAATGGTGGGATAGGTAGAAGTTGAACAAATGAAGCTCCCCTGCAACAACTGCCAGAACACTTGTTCGGTGAGGGAGGGGGGGCTTCCCTGGGCAATGCAGGCAGAATAGCCTCGTGCTACATGGTTCCTGTGTCTCCCAGCAGACAATCCCCAGAAGCTGCTGGAGAATCCAGGCAGGGGATGAGATGTGGGCTGGCATGGAGCCGAGTGGTGACAGCTCTAGTAGTAGTAAATAAATAGAGAGGGAAATTGTATCTCTGAGGCAAGGAGAGGCCAAGCAAGGCACCCTTGACGTGAGTGATGTCAAGTTGGCCACTCCCACCCAGTCACATGACCACCCAGCATGCCCACCCATCCACATGACCACCAAGCCATGCCTTGCCCAGTCACATGACCACCAAGCCATGCCCACCAAATAAGCCACATCTACAGAACCAGTAGTAAAAAAATTTGAATCCCACCACTGCCAGGAAGGGTATGCTATGAAGTAAGCAATGTACGTTGCTTGTTACCTGGGTTCTCTTATCACTGGCTTCCAATTTTTGGGTAAGTGTTATTACTTTACGCTGAAGTTGTTCTCTCTCTTCAAGTTTCTTGTCTTGACAAAGTTTCTGCAATGCCCGCAATGAGTCCGTTGTTTTTAAGAGTTGTACCTCAACGTCTCTCAGCTTCTTGGAAGCCCTGCGCTCTTCTTCCTGAGATTTCTTGAGAAGTGCTCTCAGAGTCTGCACTTCATTAGAGCGCCTGGCCAAGAGATCAGGCAGGTTAATCTCGGCATTTTCATATTTCTTTATTGTTTTTAAATGCTGGCACTGAAGACCCTTCAACATGTTATTTTCCAGAGTAGATGTCTCCAATTTATTCTGGAGAACAGCCACTTCGTTTTTCAGTTCTTTAATTTTGTGGTCTCTTGCTGACAATAGATGGTAAGCCATGTTATTTTTCTCCTGAGCATTGATGGTATGGTCTTCCGAGGTCTTCTGCGGAGGTTTCTTTTTAGGCAACTTTTTGCCTCCTGCATTAAAAGAAATATGAAGATGGCATGTAAGATTGAGCAAAGTAAGAATCATCTAACTTTACATAAACCTCAGAGCCAAATGCTCAAATATGTATTCACTGCATCGATTCACTTCCTTTTATATCATTTCTTGAGTCAATCTCTGATGCAACTATTTGTTGATTGATCTATTGTGAGAAATCCTACATTAACTTTCATAATATTAGGTATCGTATGAAATAACCGCTATACACACATTATATATTAAGACAGTATTTAGACAAATTTAAAATGCATTAACTTCAACTCCTAGAATTCCTCAGCCAGTCTTGCCTAAAGCAGGATTGGTAGCCCAGCACCCTAGCCACTATACAAGACCGCCTAGACAGTCAGATGGATACACACACACAAACTTGCACACCATATCCAAATAATGATAAAACAGTGAAAGTAATTGCCTCAAAAAGAATGAAGGAATGAACAACTCAAATTTGCCAAATCTTTTTTATATACTGGACCGTACTTCCTATCCCTCAGTTTATTTATTAAAATCATGTTACACTGACATCTGTGTGACTGGTGAACTATACCCATCAACACGACCGCCATTACAGAGTGAGGAATTACTGACTGAGGGTGTTAAAAGCAGTACATTAATTTATCAATGAACTACATAGAGTTTAAATATGTTTAACAACATTCATAAGACTTCCCAAAGTATAGTGTATTTTCTACAGTGTAGAAGTGTCAGGGTAGCTTAGCAAAAGTGCAATTATAGCACTACGGCTTGATTTTCAGGAAAGGCTTAGCTGCCATTAGTTTGGCTGAGATCTGCTAACCGCAATGCACCGCAGCGTTCTAGGTGACCAATTGCCTTCTTACCTTTTATATGGAGATTATTTTCCTTTTTCTTTCCTGGTAAGTTCCACTCTTGGGTTTCTAGTGGCTGCAGCAATGGGATAGTAAAGCTGCTACACTCTTCCCATTTTGAGGTTGCGGAGGAACCTGAGTGAAAATCTTTGTCGTAGTAGTTCTGAGTAGTTCCACCGTTGTTCTCTTCTGAACAAATGCTGTTCCTGCTGCCTTTGACAGCTGTTCTTGACGTGTTATCATGAAAGTCACTGGAATAGTTAAACTGAGCACTTCCAGACAGCCTGGAACTTTTGCTGCAGCTACTGTCTTGACTGATGTTGATGCTCGTACTAAGAGTACCTGCAGAATAGTTTGAGCTTTCACTTTCCCTACATTGTCCAGATGACTTATCCTCTTGGATAGGAGGATGAAGGGATGTATCACCAGAAGTCATCATTACACCAATGGCAGGAAAGATGGTCAATTTCTTTAAATATCCCAAGGAAAAAAGCACTGTAGTCAAACAAAGAAACAATGCATGGTGTCA